AATCACTTACCAGCTGGTATTACTTAGCCTTTTGTGACCAGCACATTGACAAAGAGTATTTGAGCTAAATAGATTTTTAAAAAAATACTGAAGGGAAACCAATTTGGATCCTGTGGTCTTCCTACGGGCCACGGGTAGGTTTTAGCAACAACCTAGAGTTTGTAGCACGTGGATTCCACTGCTCCGTGAACAAAAGAATTATTGACCAGGGCTCAACATAAAAGGCAAAGGCGGGCCTGTTTTTTCAGGTTTTCGTCTGGCAGACCCTAATTTCCTTCCAGCAAGACTCTGTTAAGTGTATGGGTGCTTATCAGCTGCTGGTAAAATGTGAAGATTCTTCAATCAGAGTCCACGGAAGAATATGACAGAGTGCAGGCCCAGGTTCAGGTAAAGTCCCCTGTCCACGCTTTGTGCACAGTACATGCAGGAGAAGAGGACACAGTCGAGTCTGGAGGTGACTCTCCATCCAGCCCATGCAAAGCAGAGATAAAAAGCTGCATCCAGGTATGTCGGGTGCAATGAGATAACTGAGGTAGCCTTGGCCTGTGCTTGCCCCACACAAGTGCCCTGAAATAGGCACAGCCCTGGAAGGGGTCGGTTTGTGCCTGCTTGGCCCCAAATTGTAGTGATCACAGGGGTTTGGTCATGAGAGACAGTGTGCGGCTTTTATGAGGAAGGAGTCTGCCAGCTAAGCGAAACAAGAAAGAATGTAACAGTGTCATCTGGAGTTATGAATGAGGTGACGAAGATGAGGGCGTGCAGGTGTCTGGGCAGGAGAAGGAGCAGGGACCACAGAGCAAGAAGGCACAGCAGGTGCACTCCCAGCTCCTCTGTGGTATGGCAATTCACGGGGTTTGGGAGGGCACAGGCAGGAGTTGTGTATGGGCCCTGTCCAATCCTTCTTTCTGGAGAAGGAATTGGGAGCTGAGGATTGGGCTGCAGCCCACACCAGGAAAGGGCTCTTGTCAGTTTCTGCCATGGGCTAAGGGCTGTACAGGAACATTGTTCTGAGAGAAGTACAAAAATTAAAATTTATAACTAAGTGCAGGCCAACATTCCCTGAGAAGGTCAGATTATATAACAACCTAAAGAAACTCCCAGACAAGATGAGAGGGAGGCAGAGAGAGGATGGGGTGTGGAGCAGAGCAGGAGAGGACAGATATAATTTCATAATTTCTGGGGCTGCCTTGCTGGATTCTTGGAATGCATCTTGATTTAACTTTCTGTCGGTTTCCTTTTATTATTTCCGGACTCCAAGTGTTATGACAAGTTCTGGTCTAGGAGCTACTGAGCTCCTAGAAGGCTAGAAAAAGCATTTCTAGCCTTTGGAATAAATGGGCTCCCGGCCTCGGAATGGTGCTAACCCTGAGTGTTGGCCTCAGGGTTTCTAAGTAACCAGTCCAACACCTTTGTGTACCAGGCCCTGGGGTGAATGGGGCGAACATGGTGCCCCTCAGGAGTCAGACCTCTGGGAAGGGGGCAGACGCAGGCATCTGTCAGGGATACAAAACATCCCCTGGGCCACTGGGGTGGTTTGTAGGCCATGAGGGGCTAGAGGGATGCCTCAGCAGGGTGCAGGGTAGTAGCCTGGGGTAGGGCAGGGCTGAGCACAGGATAGGAAGTACAAATAGGGCAGCATGGTCTGGGACTGGATCATGAGCCTGGCAGGCCCTGCTCATCAATGCCCCATGGAGTTCCTCTGGGTCACCCACTCTGGGGAGATTTTCCAGGACAGCCCCTGCGAGGAGCAAGATGCCCCACTAAGCACAGCCAGCAGCAGGCCTCCTCACCTTCTAACACCCTCTTAGGGTGAGTTGGGGTTGGACAGCTTCTGCCTGCAGCCTGGCTTCACTCTGGGACCTGAGAACCCTGAGGTAGGTGATCTCCCTCTAGCTGGCAGCATTTCCTCAGCCAAACAGTAAGAAAACACCCCTCAATCCAGGTGTGTTGGAGGTGACTTGGACAAAGCCCTACAGGGCTTGGCCCAGAAGCAGCAATGCTGTTTTGTTATATTATCAAAACCCAAAAATAACAGCTCACAGGGGAGCCACCTCCAAAGGCCAGATCTGCTTTGATAAATTCTGTTAACAACCTCCATCTCCAGGACTACTATTGTGGGGCACAAGGCCAGGCTTTCACACTCCGGTTCATCATGTGGTTCCTTCCCGGTGCTGTTATTACTCCCATGGACAGATGAGAAAACTGAGGCCCTGGGAATGTTGTAGGGCTCCTACAGCCAGCGGCATCCAGCCTGACTCCATGCATGGGGGCACTTTCCGAAACAGTGACATGACACTACTTAGAGACAAGGAAATACACAGCTTCACTCAAAATTACAGAGGCACATTCCAAAGTGAAGACATTTTCTACCCATGAGTTTGGCCAAGAAAAAGCTAAACAGTGTGAATACGGATGTGGGGAAATAGGTGCTTTCATAGGTTAGCCTTGAATGTTAGAAATGCTGTGATCTTCAGGAAGGCAGTTTCTGAATATCTACTAACATGTTAAACACATAGTCTTTGTCCCATAAATTAAATTGTGGGGTTGGGGGAATTTATCCTGAAGGTATACATTCACATGGAAGTAAAACTCAACTTACAAAGATTGCCATGGAAGCACTGCACCTAGTTAAAAAAGAAATTAAAGTGTACATACAACCTAATGCTCATTAGCCCAGAATTTGGTTAAATGAAAAAAACATTCATACAATTGAATGGTGATAAGGTGATAAAATATATTCTCACAGAAAAATGCAAGAGAAAGTAGAATATATGAAACATGTCCCATTATATCAAATAAGAAGCAATTGTATATGCATATAAAACTTCCAGAAGGATTCTCAATAATCAATAAAGCAAGTGGCTTTGAGGTGGAAAGGAGTTATCTTTCCCTTTCTGGTTATTAACTCTGTTTATTGTTCAAAAATCTTTGTTTATTTGGTTTTGTTTTTTAGCTTGTGCTGCTGAGCCTATTTTGTTTACTCAGACACTAGAAGGTGTTTGGATTGAGCCCCTAGAAAGGGCTCTCTCTCTCTCTCATGCACACATGCACACACACACACACACACACACACACACACACACACACACATGCTCTTCAGCCATCACAAGAGGCAAATCAATTTGGCTTGTGAACCTCTCAACCCTGCCGAGGGGCCTCTTACTACTCATGGTCGAGAGTTTTCTGGCTCCCACTGTAAACACAGAATACCTCTTACCCCACACCCCTTTGCCTTCCAGGGTGTCTGCCCGCTCCCAGAAATACTTGCCCAACCAAAGTCACCCGGGGAAGGTCCAGCTGCTGGACTGCTGACTGTGCCAGCCCCTGTGACTCCCAATGCCCCACTATCTGGAGGGACTGAGCAAGGGCTGTGGTGGAGTTTTACTTGGCACTTAATGCAATCCTCTTCTGCCAGAGGCAGTGGCAAATTCTATATAAAGCTGCCAAACCTGGCTGACTCCTAGCTGTGCTGCCTTGACCCCTTCCACTCAAGGACAAGACAACCGACCGCTGCGCCTGATTCGCTCACAAATAACTGAGGCTTTCAGGCCTAGGAGAGCCTGTGGAGCCCAGCTGAGCAGGGCAGGCCTGGCCCAGGGAAGCAGCTCCTCACCACTGTAACTTCTGGTTTGTAGCTGTGTAAACCGAGACAGGATATAGATACATCCTGTCTGAGTTAACAGCAAGAAATAGGGCCTCACAGTGGGGTTCCTGCCATAAATCAGAACCCATCTGAGAGTAATCTAGAATGGTATGCAAGTCAGGGCTGCATCCCCATCAGCCCCGGAGGGAGGGAAGTGTCTGAAACAGGAACCCTGGAGAACTTTGAAGAGTGGGGGTGGAGTGAGCTGTCCTCTTCAGGCACTGAGGTTGCAGCCTGCACTTTCTCAGTGACTGTGCTGAAGTGATCACAGTGGCTTCAGTCTTCTGTCTCCTTGACCCAGGCCCTGCACCCAGGTAGGTAAAGACACTAATGAGCACCAACACAGGCTCCATCTCATGGGTGAATGAATATACAGGTGCTGACATTCATTGAGCGCTTCTCAGGCTCTGTGCTGAGCTATTTACATGTGCTTCACTCTCACATCTTGATGAGATGAGCAGTGCCCTATTATGATTTCCACTTTTGCAGCTGACAAAAGAAGCCCAAGCTAAAGCAGGTTTACTCGCTAATAAGCAGCACAGATAATTTGAGTACAGACTGCGAGGCTCAGACCTCTACATAGGACTGGTGTTGCACACACCTGCACTGACATGTGGGTGCTCCAGCACAAGCAATACTTATGTACAGACGCGGTGCACACTTGAAGATCTAAGCAACTTCATCACACCCATGTTCTGGCAGCATTTTAAAGACTTAGCAGATCCACCTCTCTGTCTCCAACCCCCGGTTCACTGCCCCAGTAATACCTCAAGGCGACCATGATGTAGATCAGACCATCTCCTCTCTGACAAGCTCTACTTGTCCTAACCAGGTTGGGGGTCAATATTTTAAAATACAATTTTAGTTTTTCTCTTAAAAGACCAATGGCAGAGTGGGAGAGGCACAGAAGTGCCTCCTGTCACCAGTGATCCCCATCAGCAAGAAAACGGTGCTGATTAAAATAGAAAACAAACGTACAAACAACTATAAACAGCAATTTTTAACAGCCCCAAAAGGGTCCGGGTCGGGGACCCTGGACATGTGTGCGCCGCAGCAGCCAGGACGGTACCTGTTGCTGCAAGGGTGGCTCTGGCTCGCTTCGCGCTCTGCGTATGCCCTTTATCAGGCGCCTTCTCCATACTCTTAGGGACGCAAGTTCTGGCCTGGACACTTCACAAGCCCCACACAAAGAAACAAAGAGAGCCCAGGCTGGGGGCGCAGGACGGACCCGGCCGGGCCCGGGCTGGTGCCGACCTTGAGCCCAGTGGCACCCGGGCGGGCGAACAGGCCTGCGCCGGAGGCACTGCAGGTCCCGGTCCAGCCCGCCAAGGCCAGGTCTCCCCAGGGCGGTACTTACGGGGCGCCAGCGGCGAGCTGTCCGGGGTGCTCATGGCCAGGGTCGGGCTCGGTGGCGGCGAGGGGCGGGAGGAAGCGGCACCGGGTCGCCCTCCTCCTCCTCCTCCTCCTCCTCCTCCTCTCCCGCCCAGGCCGAGGGAGGGGCCGGGCCGAGCTGGGCGCGCGGCAGCTACTTTTCTGCAACTCCCTGGCGGGGTTTCCACCCTTCTTTAAAAGCACACCGCCCACTTCTGAACTCTGGGGCGCTTCAACTACCCTGCGCAAGACTCATTTTATTTATTTATTTTTCTTGTTTCCATCTACGACTATCAGACACGGAGGCTGAAGCTGAGTATTGCCCCCTGAGAAACTGAAAAACTCACAGATGTGTTGGGGTGGCCTGGCAGGCCACTGTCGGGAAAGCCACCAAAGAGGCCTGACTCCCATCTGAAACCCACTGACAGCTGTGGGAACGAAACTTTTAAAAAACTTTTTAATTAACAGGTAATAATTGTACATATGAATGGGGTACTTGCCACATTTCAATACATAGCACAATATGTACTATCAAATCAAGGCAAGTGGCATTTCCACTTCTTCATCACTGATGAGGAGCTCAGCTCCTCAACTCTTCTAGGTCTTCATAAAACACGCAAAATTTTTTTATGGACTAGAGTTGCCCTGCTTCACTGAAGAAATTATATCTCCTGTCTGTTTTGGTGCCCTCTATGTACCCCTCCTTTCTACCCTTCCTGCTGCTGCTAATAATTACTACTCTCCTCCTTCAGCTTTGGGCTCAACTTTTTCAGGTTGCTTGTAAGAGAAAGCATGTGGCATTTGCTTTATTTAATTAATTTATTTTTTTTACCGTACTGGGAATCAAACTCAAGACCTTGTGCTTGCAAAGCAGACATGGCACCACTGAGCTAAATCCTGGGCCCAGAATTTGGCTTTTTGTGTCTGACTTAGTTTGTTTAACCTAATGTGCTCCACTCCTGTCCTGTTTGGCTGCAAAAGATAGGATTTCACTTTTTTAATGGCTGAATAATGTCCCATTATGCACACATGGCACATTTTCTTTATCAATCATTCCCCAGGGGACACTTGGGTTGCTTCCATTTCTGGGCTATCTTCAGTAGCCCCATCATACACTTTGGGACTCCAGTATCTCTTTTATATGTTGATCTCATTTTCTTTGGCTATGTACCCAGAAATAAAACAGCTGGGTTGCACTGGAGTTCCATTTCTAATTTTTTTAGGGAAACTCTATACTGTTCTTCATGATGGCTGTATTAATTTAATTCTCATCAACATTGTATTAAGAGTCCTTTTTCTCTGCTATTGTATTAAGAGTCCTTGTCAGCATCTGCTACTTTTTCCTTTTTTGATAATTGTCATTCTGACTGAGGTAAAATGGCATCTCATGATTTTGATTTTCATTTCCATGCTGGCTAATGATATCGAACATTTGTTGTATGTTTGTTGGCCATTTGTATTTACATTTAAAAAATGTCTATTCAAATCATTTGCCTATTTTTAATTGGATTTTGTCCTCATAGTGAATTTGTTTGCTTAAGTGTTCTGGATATTAGTATTTTACTAGATGGCTAATTTGTAAATATTTTCTTCCATTCTTCAGGTTGTTTTTTTACTCTGCTCATTGTTTCCATTTCTATGCAGTTTGCTATAATCCCATATGTCTATCTTTGCTTTTGTTGTCTGTGCTTTTGAGATCTTATACCAATGACTTGAAGAATTTCCCCTTGGTTTTCTTTTAATAGATTCAGTTTCAGGTATCATATTTAGGATTTTGATCCATTTTGAGTTGATTTTTGTATATGCTGAGAGACAACAGTCATATTTTATTCTTCTACATGTGGCTATCCAGTTTTCCCAGTACCATTTATTGAAGGGGTTATGATTTCTCTGCTATGTATTTTGGTGCCTTTCTTGAGAATCAGTTAGCTTTAAATGTGTGGATTTATCTCTTGGATGTTCCAGTGGTCTATGTGTTGCTTTCTTGCCATTGTCATTCTGTTTTGGTTTCTGTAGCCCTGTAGTATGTCTTGAGATCGGTATTGTAATCAGATATGCTCTTTTTGCTCAGTTTTTTTTTTCAATTTAGAATTTTTGGCTGCCATATTAATTTTAGGATTTTTATTCTGTTTTTGTGAAGAATGCCATTGACATTTTGATGGGGATTGTATTGAATCTGTAAATTGCTTTGGATGTTATAGACATTTAAACAATACTAGTTTTTCCAATCCATGAACTCGAGCTGTTGTCTTAGTTATTTTTCACATTGCAGGGACATAATACCGACATCAAAATGTTAAAAGAAAAAAGGTTTATTTTAGCTCACAGTTTGTAGAGGTTTCAATCTATAGTTGGCTGTCTCCAAGGCAGGAGAGCATGGCAGAGGATACAATCCATGGCAGACAGAAAGCACCAAGCCTGGCTTCTCTCTATCCCTTCATATTTCATCCAGGCTACAAACCTGTTTGTTGGAGCCACCTACACCCAGGGTGGGGTTTCTTTCTTCAGTAAATACATTCAGCCACACCCAGAATTATGGTGATCCACTTAGAGGACCATTTCAGATATCACATACCCTTAATCCAGTATCACACACCCATGATCCAGCCACCTCCCCAAAGTCACACCTATGAGCACATAAGGCTTTGGAGGGAACATCTCCATGTAAGCCATAACAAATGTCTTTCAATTTTTTGTGTGTTTTCTTCAGTTTCTTTCATCAGTGTTTTATAATACATTACAGAGGTTATTCACTTCCTTGGTTAACTTTATCCCTAGGTATTTTATTTTTTGTGTAGCCATTGTGAATGGGATTGTTCATAATTTATTAGCAAGTTTATTATTGGTATCTGAAAGTACTATTTTTTGTGTTGATTTTGTATCCTGTAATTTTACTGAATCTGTTTATAAGTTCTAATACTATTTTGGTGAAATCTTTTCCTTTTTCTATATATAAAGTCACGTGACTAATTAAGGATAATATGACTTAGTCTCTTCCTATTTGTATGCCTTTTATTCTTTTCTCTTTCTTATTGCTGGAACTAAGACTTGTAGAACTATGTTCAGTGTAAGTGGTGAAAGTGGGTGAAAATGGCAAAACTTTGCTGTTCTCCATTTTATGGAAAGTACTTTCTGCAAAGACTAGAAGGGAATGAGATGATATATTCAAAAATTTGAAAAAAAAATTGCCAACCACAAGTACAATACTCAGCAAAGATATCCCTCAAGAATGAAGAAGCAAAAAAGACTTTCCAAGAAAAACAAAACCTGGGAATTCATCACTACCAGATAAGCCTTACAAAGATTCTTAATGGAATCTTCCATCTAAAATCAAAAGAAATATAACTACCATCATGGAAACATGCAAAAGTTTAAAACTCACAGGAAAAACAGACACACAAAAGAGAAAAAGAAAAGAATAAAATCACAATGATAAATGATAAGAGAAAAAATAACAAAGGATATCTAAAACAATCAGAAGAAAATAAGAAAGCATCCGAAGTATGTCTTTACATATCAATAATAATCTTGAATATAGATGGATTAAATCCTCCAATTAAAATATAAAAACTGGCAGAATGGATGAAAACAAGGCCCAATAATATGCTGCCTATGAGAAACTAACTTCATCAGTAAGGACACTCTCAGACAGAAAATAAAGGCTTGGTAAAAGATATTCCACAAAATGGAAACCCAAAATGAGCAAGAATAGGTATATTTATAGCAGATAAAAAAAACTTTAAGTCAAAGACTTGAACAGAGACAAACAAGGTCAGTATACAAGGGATGATCAAAATATATAGTGATTGTTTACATTTTAAAAAATTTATTGCAATAAAAGACACATTGCCATTAATCTTCTCAAAATACTCCCCTTCTCTTTGAACATACTTGTCCCATTGTTCTTGTGACTTTCTGAAACAGTACTGGAAGTCATCTTTAATGAGTGAATGTGTTTATGAGGTGTGATATAAAGTACAGTGAATGCTGTTGCCTCCTGCTAGTCAATGGAATGGCAGGCTTGTAAAAACAGAACTGTGTGTCCTCATTCACCTTATTCATCAGATCTGATGCCACATAACTTTTGGGTCTTACCCAAAGTCAAAATGACCGTGGAAGGTAAATGATTTGAATCAATTTATAACATTAAAGCAGCCACATCAGTGCATCTAAAGACACTCGTGAGAAAGGACTTCCAGAACTTTTTTGGAAAGTGGTAAGAATGATGAGATGTGTTCAAAGCAAAGGGAAATATCTTAAGCGGGGTTGGTAGCTTTTATTGTAATAAATTTTAAAATTTAAACATTCACCATACTTTTAGATTGAACTCTATAATGATCAAAGAATCAATTAAGATATTATAATTGTAAACATGTATGAACCTAATGTAAAAGAAGAGATAAGACCCCATACAATGATAGTTGAAAACGTCAACACCCTTCTTTCATTAATGGACAGATCATCCAGACCCCCTTAAAATCAACAAAGAAACATTGGAGTTCCCTGTCAGTATAGATAAGATGGACTAACATTTACAGGATATTTCATCTAACAGCTGCAGAATTCATTTTTTTTTACATCAGCACATGGAATGTTTTCCAGGATAGACTAACTACATGTTAGCCATAAGATAAATCTCAACAAATTAAAAAATGAAATCATATAATGTATATTCTCTGACTACAATGGAATAAAACTAGAAATCAGCAACATAAAAACTTTACAAATTGTAAAAGTACATGGAAAGCAATTTTTGTGCTATTCAATGAACAGAGTAATCAAAGAAATCAAAAGTAAAATTTTAAACTTGCTTGCAACAAGCAAAAACAGAAACAAACATACCATATCATATGGGACTAGCCAGAAGCAGTACTAAAAGGGACGTTTATAGTAATAAGTGCTACAATAAAAAGTTTCCAATAAATGCCTTAATGATACATCTCCAGGTACTAGAATGGCAAGAACAAATCAATTTTAAATTTAGTGGCAGAAAAATAACAGGTCAAAGCAGAATGAATGTAATGGACTAAAAAATTACAAAGAATCAATGAAATAAAGAGTTGGTTTTTAAAAAAGAAACAAAACTTCAAACCTTTAACTAGACTTGTCAAGAAAAAAGAGAGAAAAGACTCAAATAAATAAAATCCCAGATGGAAGAGGAAACATCCATCACACCTGATAATACAGGAATC